GCTCCTCTCACACTTGAAACAAATCTCCAAATGTAAAGGAGTGCCTGTATGTATTTGTCAGCTATAAGATCAAAATATTTATCTTCTTGTTGAACAAGGAGTCAAAAATCTTTCTGCTTTTCCAAGTGAGGAGGTTTCCTTTGCCAGAGACATGCTGGGACATCACCATCACATTATGTGCAAGCACTTGAGTTTCAGGAGCATCTTCTCTTCCCAGGAGCCTTTGAGGATGTAAAATCCCTAAAGGTCTTTAGTGTTAATTATTTTTTTCTTCTGTATGGTTCTGTGGTGGTTTTTTTTGTTTTTGTTTTTGTTTTTTTTTCCTTGTTTTTTTTTGTGTGTATGTGTGTGGTTTTTATTTTTTATATTTTTTTTTGTTTGGTGGGGTTTTTATTTTTTTGTTTGTTTGGATTTTTTGTTTTCTTTTTTTTGTTTGTTTGTTTTGTTTTGTTTTGTTTTTTGTTTTGGTTTTTTTTGTGTACAGGCTTATTTTGCAGTTATGGGCTGTGACTTTCAGCATGGCTGTGCCCTGGATTGCCCAGTGCTGGGGGGAGGTTTTCTACATTAATTGTTCTGTATAAATAAGCCCATGACAACAGTGATGAAAAATGCAGGCTTTTGCTGTAAAAGTGCATCAGCTGCTACTTATTTTTAAAGAATCCTTCCACCAAATCATCACAAATCACAGTAAAGAGGAAGGAATGGTGTAGACTGACAATAGTACTTTTTTTAGACAGACAAAAAGATGTTGTGTAGAGAAAAGCAGTAACTATACAGGATTCTAAAAGTCTGCTGAGCAATTGCCCCTAGAGAGAATAGCTTTACAGCATATGCACAGAAGTTTTAACTCTTGGCTGCCCTTTAAACTAGGATAGTGTATTTGGTATCATACTGGCTTCTTTTGCCTTTTTCTAGGATGCTGAAGATCTGCTTTTATCCTCCCATGATGTACATTGGCACAGGCTGCTTCATTGCACTGTGGTGCCTTAGAGCCAGAGGGAAAGCTGAGGATGGGAGCGTGTTAGGCTGAGGCTACAAATAAAGGTTGTGTTGGTAGCTTGGGGTGTTAGGTCTAGAGAAGGATCCTGGTGGAAAGTAAAATACCCAGCATGCAAAGAGGGTCTCCATGACTGGAGGCTGGGAAGGGCCTCACCCAGGCTCCCCTTGTCCAATGGTCTGGCACCTGGGAAGCAGCTAGGTAAAGGTTTGGTGCTATCTATGGCTGTCTGTGCACATAGCACACAGTCATCTTTCACTGCTGAGGGCTGAGACAACTTTAAGAGTACTTGGCAAGAGATGTTTATGCCTTACCTGGATCCAGCATCCTTCATCAGCCCTGTATTAACACCTGAAGGATGCTGTCACATGGCACAGCTCTTCTGTTCAAGTGCTGCAAGATTTACTGGCTCTCCAGCTGCTGTTAATAAACTATGCATTTGTCATGTGCTGTTTAATTAGCACAGAGCATGAATCACAATGAAGAGAAATGAGGTACATGTCAGTTGATTATACCAACACTGTTGCTGCAAACATAAAATAGGTCCATGCTCCAGCCATGCAATACCACAGTTGCTGTTACTTCAGCCTGTGGCTGAATGAACACAGGGAGAGCAAGGCTGCCTTTTCCCTGCAGGCACAAAGAGCAATGGATTTACCTGACCTTGGAGGGATGGACTTCATTTTTCCCCTCTAGACTTGACACCTGCCTGACATTTGATACGTGTCATCTCAGGAGGACAAACAAAAAGCTTATTGCCTGTCTTGCAGAAGCAAAGCCAAGGGCAAAGCCCGCCGTCATGTTCCTTGATGTGTTTTGGCAGTGCTTGATGTGGCTGGATTAGCTTGTTTAATTTGCTCCCTGTGTGACTTTCAAAGCAATAATCACATGAAAATGACTGGGCTTTGGTTGATACCAAAGGGCTCCTTATTCTGACATGTTGATTTGGGATACAGCTGCTCTGAGGGGTGCACATCAAGTCCCTGTTAGCTGTTTGGCTTGCTGCTGGTCGCAGATGTGTCAGAGATGGTCCCTGCCTGATGCTCTTCAGGCAAAGCGGAGCAAATATTGCATCCCTGTGCTGCAGAGATGTTGGGATGAGCCAAGTGCCCTCATGTCACATGGCAGATCTGTGGCAGCTGTCTCCTGAATCCCAGATGGACCCATGGTTATTTTCTGTCCAGGCACCTGGCATGACAAGTGATGTAGGTGTCTTGTGGCTTGACTTTGACTTCTCACTGTGCATACAGCGCTGCAGTTTTCCTTCTCACTGCTTACAGCACCCAGGTCAGGCCTCCTGCCTGCGCTTCCTCCCTTTCCAAAGCGCCAGGTCAGCTATGAGAGAAAAACTCCTTGGCTCAACAGCTGAGGAGCCAAGTTTCTTTGTGCTGGGATGTGTCAATTCAATACTAGAAAACAATCTCCCCAAAATGTTCAGGTGAGAGTTGTGTTGATGAGCTTTGCTGATGACTGGCGTGTAAGCTGGTGCTTGCACTTTTGCCTGCACCTGAAAATCCTTGGGTTTTGCATAGAGGATGACTTTGCATAAGGCTGCTGCCAACCTCTGGATTTCAAATGGCTTTAGAAAATATTGCCTTCTAAAATGAGAGACGAATTCTGCGGGTAAACTGGCAATATTTCAAAAAGGCATCTGAGTGAAAGATTTAAATGTTTTTCAAAGTATTTAGTGGTGCTATCTTCTCTTATAATTGCAGTACTCACTACACTCACTATCACTGTAGAACTGGAGACATAATACTAAATTAGTGGAGGCAAAATATTGTCTTTTTAAGGAGTCAGTAGGCTCTGATGAGGCTGTAAGTTGAGTATTTTGCTCAGTTTTGGGCCCCTCACTACAGGAAAGACATTGAGGGGCTGGAGAAAGTCCAGAGAAGGGAAATGGAGCTGGGGAAGGGTCTGGAATACATGTTCTGTGAGGAGCAGTTGAGGAAGCTGGGGGTGTTTAGCCTGGAGAAAAGAAAGCTTGGGAGAACCTTATCACTGTCTACAGCTGCCTGAAAGAAGCTTGCGGCCAGGTGGGGGCTGGTTTCTTCTCCCAGGTAACAAGCAATAAGACAAGAGGAAACAGTGTCAAGCTGTGTCAGGGGACGTTTAGATTGAATATTGGGAAAAATTTAATCATGGGAAGTTGAGTTACCATCCCTGGAGGTTTTTGAAAGATATGTAGATCTGGCACTTGGGGACATGGTTTAGTGGTAGCTTGGTAGTACTGGGTTAATGGCTGGACTTCATTATCTTGGAGAACTTTTCCAACTTAAATGATTCTATGATTCTCATTCAAATCCTGTCCTCTGTCTTAGCCTTGATACTGCAGCTGCTTATCTCAGGACAATTAATCCCTGATTTAGCTCTGTGTTGCATGGTTGGAGACTTCTGAGATGTGTTACCACCTTGGGGAGAAGTAAGGAGTGACTTCACTAGATGCCCATTGTGATACTCTATGTGTGCCATCTTCTTTCTTGGCTGGTATGTACAAAGCAGATCAGTGCTTGCTTTCTGCCTCTGAGGAAAAGGATGGTGTGCTGAAGTTATTTTTCTCATAATTTAGCTTCATTGAAGACCTTATAAGCCTATGCTGGTGTTAATTTGGTTACACAAAGAATATCAGAGAGCCTTTGTTAACTGTTTGCCCACTGCAGCTTTCCCTCTGAGGGGGAAGCTCTTGGGTGTTGCTCGGCCCAGCTATGGATCAGGTTCCTGCAGTGCTGCTGTGTCCTGGGCAGAGGTGTAGAACCCTTGCCCAGGGTCCTCCAAATCAGAAGCACCTGTAGCCATGGGGCTTTGCTTGTGGGCCATCCAGGAAGGCTGTGCTGCCTATCGTCGCGTGGAGGTGCATGGACAAAGTCATAGGTTAACTCCTTGTTTTGGGACTTGAGGTCCTGCCAGTACCAATTAGGGAGCTCAGCAGGTAGTGCCAGGATGAGACATTTGGCTGTGGTGCTGACAGGATGCCTGATGTTTTGAGGCAATGTTCTCTGCATGTTGTGGTGATGCTGGTAAACACGGAGCCCAGCCTGAATAGTCCAAATACTGTAGCACGCTGCAGAGCACTTGAAAAATGACATCACGTGCAAAACCGTGGCAAAACTGGGAAGTTAGACTTTGCTTTTGGCAGGCAAAGAGGGCAATGAGACAAAGCACAGAAATGAGCTTTTAAAGAATTTTCTAAGTAAGACTGGCTTGAGTAACCAGTTTATCTGGGGAGTATCCTTTTATGTGTTTCTACTTGGAATATTAAATAATCTGATTTTAGGGTGAAATTGCTTGCTTCTCTGCATCATGTTCTGTTTTGGTCCTTTTAATGCCATCACGAGTGGGAGAAGGGAAAAGCTTTATCATAAGTTATTTATTTAGGCTGTCTGGTCTCCTCTTCAGGGGTGGGCTGGGACTGTCCTGACTGCTGCTCTATGCCTATGTAATGACTTGCTGAAGGATGTCACACACAAGCTCTATTCATGGCTCCCTTGGGGATGCTAAATCCCACCCCTGAGGACTGCACAAATGGACAGAATTACCAGTGAGCAGGAGGTTGACAGCCTCAACCAGGAGGTTGACAGCCTCCTCTTGCTTCTAATTCTCTAGTCAGTGCTCAACAGTGAGCCAAAGGAAGCTCTGCCTCTCTTCTAAGAGGAAGAGGGTTTTTGTTGCGGTGTGATGTCATGGTTTGCCTCAGTCCCCCTGGCTTCTCCCTGAAATTTCCTTCCCCAGGTGGGCTGTCAATCACCCTTCCTTTCCCCACCCTTTGACCCCTGCTGGGCACTGTCTATCAACCCAGAAATTCCAAGGGGAGCGTCGAGTGATTGGCAGGTTCAAAGGATGCTCTCCACCCCCTGGGGGGCCATTGGCCCACCCAGGTGTCCTTCTCACCTGAGACCCCCTCCCCCTGTGCCTGATTGGTGCTCCTTGTGTTCCCTCCCCTGCCCCTCTCCCCAGGTAAAAGGGGAAGCGCACCATGTGGTCAGGATTCTGTTGGAGAGTGCTATTGGAGCTGTTGCAGGATTCATAAATAAAAACTCTGGATTAAAAACTCTCCATCAGGACCAACTCCTTTCTTCACCTTGCCTTAAAGGCTTTTCCAGCTCAGGAAGGCCTAAGGAGTGACCCCACATCAACAGCAAGCTCCAGTCCGCAAGCTCTGGAGCTCGGGGCATGCCCAGACTTGTCTCCACGTGCCCAGCTGTGACCACAGGTACTGAAGAGTGTCTCTGGGGAGGAAGGGCCACAGGTGCCCCTATTTGGTCAGCAGCCAAGGCCAGACAGACCCAGGCAGTCCTGTTCAGTAATATTGGTACACTCCAATAGCTTTTGTTAATTGTGCTGCATTTTTTGTCTTTCATGTGGAAGAAGTTTGGATATATTCTTTCAAAAAGCTTTCTTTCTAAGCTTCAATCAGGTACAAAGCTAAGTTTCTGGAGAAAAGTAATACACGGGAGGGTTGGAGGGGGTGTGCACTCAGGATTGACAGAATTTCCTGGACTCTGGTGCTGGCTGGCTGGATAATTGTCTTGGGTGATGGCACATTTCTTTCTTGGAAGTTGTGATTTTCACGAGCTTTCTTTTCCAACATACTTCCAATTATCATTATTCATAGGTAGCATGTGCAAACTCCACAACAGATTTTGTTTAATTTCGAGAGTATGGCTAAATATTTGTACTTTGTCATTGCCATAACCTATTGCCCTCCAGTTCTTTCACAACTAATTTTTTCTCTCTACAGTGTAAGAGATTTGGAGCAGGGGCCTACTATTTTTCACTGATTATAGAGGAACTTTATGAATTTTAACCTCCGGTGTAAATTAAACTGTGCTCATGCTAAACATGGTTAAACATAATCATGCAGAGGAAGAAGGGGTGAAAACTGCCCACTTCTCTAGTAGAGAATTTGCAGTCCTCATAAGTAAACTCCAGTGAAAAGGAAACTGAGCTGTGTGAAAAGCCATGAGTAGGATGGGGCTTAAACCACTAGTCTGTTATAATCCTAGTGCTTTACTAGAGCTGATTGCCAGGTCAAACCTGCACAAGAACAAAACAAACAAAATGAAAACAAAAAGAAGAAAAATGTCTGTTGCACATCCAGCTGCCCTACAGCTCTTAGTTGCTGTAAAACCTGCCAAAACCTACCCAAAGAGACCATATAGCACCTTCTATTAGCTAGAGAAAGCTGTAGAGGGACATTTTACAAGGGTAAGTAGGAATAGGACAAGGGGGAATGGCTTCAAACTGAAAGGCAGTGGGTTTAGATTAGGTATTGGGAAAAAATTCTTGACTGTCAGGGTGATGAGGCACTGGAACAGATTGCTCAGAGGAGCTGTGGATGCCCCATCCCTGGAAGTATTCAAGGCTAGGCTGGATGGGGCTTTGAGCAACCTGGTCTAGTGGAAGGTGTCCCTAGACTTGCACACCTTTCTTGGTGTACTTGCCTTGTAACTAGGCAGTCTTTAGGGTCCTTTTCAAACTAAATAATTCTGCATTTATGCTGGGGATTGTATCTGGGATCTGTTGGTGTTAAAAATTAAACAACCCCAAACAACACTGAAAAAAATATCAAAATTAAAAAAACCACTTTTTTTTTTCTTAATCAAAACTGTATTCCCTCCTTTCATTGTTGTCTTTTGTGTGGCCAGGCCAGGAACTATTCCGTGATTCGTGCCTGCCCCATTGGAATACGTGATGTCTGTCAAAAGCACGGTGAGAAAGCATGGGAAGGTGGTGATAGGATAAGCGACGTGGTGACCTCTCATCTCTTACGTAGATCCCAGTTGTCATGCAGCATTAAAAGCTCCTTCATGGGAGTCCTGGACTGGCCACAAACCCTCCTGGAGCATTGAAGAGCCTGTGGATATATCAAAGGAAGAGTCTGACAGGAATATACATTACTGTGGGGAAAAGTTATGACAAAATTAGTGCTAGAGTTAGGCATCCTATGAGCATTTCACAAATTCAAATGACCATCTTCCCACTCTGCAGGCTCTCTTTAGCTTGTGATCACAGGCGTGGTAGGTGAGAGATGCTGTATTTATAGCTTGAAAGTTGATTACATGGGGATGTGCCTCACAAATGGCACATCTGCTAAAAGAGTTGTGTTCTTAAGCTGAAAATGTAAATACTTTAATAAAAGGGAAATAAAAAGAAGTGCATAGATGTTGGCAGCATTTTCCACCCACCCTGTCTGAATGTAACTTACATTTTCACTCATTTGCTGGGGTTTTGTATCAAGCAGGCAATCTTGAGCTTGAAGACTGCTGAAGTCACTGGTGTGTTACCCATACTCCTTCTCTCCTAAGACTTGCTCTTCAAGCCTGTTCTTTCATCTCAAAAGGAAAATAAAGTAGGTATTCAGAGGCGGAAGAAGGTGCTTAAAAACTTCCACATTGATGGGGTTGCAGCTGCAGCAGGCAGCTTCAAAGGGTGGCTTTGGGTCTCTCATTCAGGATGTGACCCCAACCCTGCCCAGCCAGGCAGAAGAGGGATCATGAAGCCACCTCTCTGCTTCTGGGCTGATAAGCTTAGGAGAGCAGTTGGTGTCCTTGTAAAATGTCTGGGATCTCTGCACAGGCAGCACTGATGGGACTGGTGGTGACTTGGCTGTCAAGACCTTGAGGTTGCTTTTGGCACAGCATTTTCTTCACCCTGCTCTAGCCAGCCCTGTGGTCCATTTGGCCATCATGGCTGTGCTCCCAGCAGAGCTGCCAGGATAGCTCACCACATATTTTGCCAGGGACATGCTGCCCGGGCATGGTGGTGAGGGAAACCCCCAGCCCTCCTCCTCCTCCTATAGAGCTCATCTCCTATATGTCACTCTGTCACTTTGCCTTTTCTAAAAGTAGTATAAATCTGTTTATAGTCTGTATAAAAAGAAAAAAAGGCAATAGAAAATACTGTGAATGCAGGGTCTGTAATCTTACACATCTTTTGGATTTGTGAGAGTATCTGTGAAACACCCATCCTACAGTGCCCTTGCCTCCTGGGCAGCTCCTTACTGGGCAGCATGTTTTAACTTGGAAGTTTTTCTTGGACGCAGATGTTCCTCTGAATTAAATTCCTCTCATAGGTCTTATCAGGCTACTCTCTTCCCAAAGCACATGAATTAATTGAAAAGCCTCCAACCTTTCTATTCTATTGCAAGGAAGAAAGGGGAAAGAATAGATCCCCAGCAGAAATTGTGGATTCTGGAACCATATGATAGGGCAGCATTCATGTTTACTTAACTGTTGCTCCCATGCTAGACTTATGGAGGTGTGACTGCTCTTGAAGACAGAAGACCACATATTTATGGCAGTGCCATCATATATAAAAATAATTATGTCAAATTCTGTATTGGATTTGAGAGCTCAGGCTTATTCTCTTCTTATATAGCTTTTTGCTTTTTATGATTTCATGGATCATATAGCAAATTTAGTTTGACTCCCTAGTAAATGTAAGTAGGCCTGTAATAATTGTACTATCTGATTGTGTTGACTATATTTCAGAGAGATTTTTAAAAATATTGTGCTTTGGCCTAATGTGGTTTCTGCTGATATCAGCAGCAGGAGCCCTCTCTGGATTTCAGCAGTGGAGGGGAAGGAACACTTCTGCTTTTGTAAATTTAGTCTTTAAAACATCAATTTACAAATATCCACAAATGGAATATTTGTGGATATTTGTAAATATCCACAAATATTCTTAATCGAATGCTTTCTCTATGTGTGTGCCATGACCACTGTTGTAGCTCACTTGCAAGAACTTGTGGCAAAGTGCTCTTCTTCTCCAGCCTAAAGTATTGTAGGTCTCCCTTTCTTTTCTCCTCCACCTTAACCCATACTTTGTTTTTTTAAGTCACACTCAGGGTTTTTTCTCACCATGCAACTGCCATACTGATCGAGTGACTATTTTGTTTTTCATAATTGCTCCAATGTTTTCACTGAGGGGTTGAGTAGCTTACACCTCATATGTGGCACTGCTTTGCCAGTATTGCTCAATAAATGCAAATGAAGCTCAGAGGTCAAAGTGAAGCAAGGTTCTTGTGGCTTAAGTCAATAGAACTTGGGAAGTATGTGGCATGTGTCATAACTCTTCAGGATCATTTATCTCTCCTTTGTGAATTTCTGAGCAATAATGCTAGAAATACATTTAGGGATTTCCTATTTCTTCTCAGGTTTAGCAAATACCACTTTAGACACAACACTGCAGATCTGGGCCACAGGTTTTAAAAGGGAGTGGGTGTAGATTTGGACATTTCTGAGTTAAGTCTAAGGTATTTTTTTGTTTTATCCTGCAGAAATATCTGTGCTGGCCATCTAGCCCAGCATTTGGTTTCTGACAGCAGAAATAGGAGAGGTTGCTTAGGGAGAATAAGTTTGGCTGCCGCTCACATCCCCAGCTCTTGTACCCTCCCAAGGGTCACAACTGCTGGGTTAGAGCTGTTGAGCCTATTAATCCATTTAGGACCTAATACCTTGACTCTGTGAAACAAGCCTCAGGTACCTGGGCACTACAGACATCATTTTGCGCAGTCATGCATTGAGTGGGTGGTTTGAAGCTCTCTGATGTAGAAGCCACTTTTTTTGCATTCAAAGCTCACATCTTATATGAAGTGTAGCTGCACAGCAAGTGCTCTTGGTGTTAACAGTCCACTTCTTTCTTGCATGGTGGGTTGCTGACAAGTCCTCCTGCTGGTCTTTCAAGGGAAATGGAAGAGATTAAAGTTTAAGTATTGAAAAAACCCCACAATCTTGGCATATATGAGAGGTGGCAGTGTTATTGCAGAGCATGGATTCAGCTGATGTGAAAGAGTGATGAGCTAATGCTCTTACTTTCTGGTCTGGGAGGTGACAGGGAGTGAGACAAGTGTTATTTGAAAACACTTGTGAAGAGGGAACTGGCATAGCTCCTGTTTCATATCTCCTACGTGATGAATGAAACTGCTTACAAATATTTGTCTCCCTTCTGCCACATTCCCACCTTCTACAAATGTTTGTGGGGTTACTTCCCTCCTCTACAAAGAAGGTCCATAAACCAGCTCTGATAGCAATGCTGCTTAAAATACTGGTTGAGGTACTTAGGGGAGCAGAGGGCTGCAGTTTTCCATCCAGCACAAAGTTTTATATGAACAAACAACATGTATCTTGAAGATGCATTTGCTCAGGATTTGAGTCCTGGGTGCTCCTTGTGGTCCCAGGACTTGAGCACTGGATCAGTGCTCCCAGGTGGGCAGAGCTGAGGTATGTGACTCAAGTTTAAAGCAGAATAAAAACTTACGTGCATCTTTGCAGGGCTTTGTTAAAGACTCTGTGGAGTTCTAAGAGGAGGTTAAGATATGTACACAAATACAGCTGTGTTAAGTATTTTTCTTGTCAGATCAAAAGGAATTAGAAATTGTAGTGTGTAGTTTTTGTCATTCTTAGATATATTTTTCTTTAATCTTCTTGTTTCAGGCCTCCTTGGAAAGACCATTTTAGGGTCCTTTTGCCTTTGACTGATTTTTGGATTCACTTTCCAATGCTCTCTCAGTGAAATGGGAGCTAGAGTGTTCATGATCCATTAATGTGCTGGTGGCCCCATTGTGCACTCATACATAAAAGTGTAGTGGAAGGCCACCAGAAGCTCCAAAAGCCAATATTTGAAACACATAACCCTGGAAATTCTGCTACCTTTTGCCATCTGAGAGTGAGCAGTGATACCAGCATATGCAGGTCTGTGACAAAGTTGTGGTTAGCCATAGTTATCCTGAGCCTCGTTTTCATTTGGAGAAGGATTATTTTGCAAATTGGCAGCCTTACTGCTTGTGACAACTCACTCCATGGGGTCTTTTTGGGCTCTCACGTCCTGAACAATCACCATCTAAGTGAGCCCTGCTCACATCAGTCTTTTAAGTAGAGTAGAGGAGGGTTTCCCATCAGTACTCCTTTGCAGATTGTTTTCTGATCCAGGTTGATCAAGTGGTAAAACGGAAGAAATATGCTAATAGGGAATAGAGAAAGGAAGAGGAAAAAGAGTTCCACAATACCTTACAAAATCAGTTTTTCTGCCCCACAGAATACACTTTAGCTGGAAGCAATGCTGAGGGATTAGTGATTCACGGTCTGGTCTGATCCTTATGCTATCCCCTAGGCGATAGAGTTATGTGTCAAACACATGCCTGCTTAGCATCTTTTTTCAAGCTAGGAGATTTCAGATTGACTCTGACGAGAATTTTATTTGAAAATAAAGTTAGCTACTGTTTTCTTCCCTGAATCTTGAGGTACTGGTAGGCTTGACACTAAGCATCACTGAACAACAGACTGATTTATAACTAAGTATTATCATGCCAGCTACACTGGAATGCAATACAAGACTAACTGAGTCCACTTTGAGGAATCTTAATGAGCAGAACAGAAACAAATAATGTAGGATTTCTCATCCTGGAAACAAGCATCATCACTTGCTGATGGCCCACAATGTTGGCTGAGCTTCTTGAGCTGGCTCAGCTCCTTGTCACCAGCTGCTAAATTACATTCAGAACAGATTAAAAAGATGTTGTAGATATTCCTTATGTTAATTTCCATATAAGCAATGGCTTTTCCAGTTTTCTGGGGAGAAGCTGCAGATGGCACAAAGATTGATAGAGGGGCAAGTGATGGTGCTCTGGAGAAAAGTGATCCTTCTTCACAGAGAACCAGGACTTCAAAATTTGTCGTAGATCCTTATGGCTGGAACACTCCGAATTGAAATTAAATTAATAGCTTTTTACATTTCTCATGCAGGAAAGCAGGGATGGAGACCCCTCTAAGATCTGTGGTTCCCATTTCCATAACATTGTGCCTGGTTTCTCTTACAGCTTTGTTGGAATCAAGCTGTTCTCCCAAAACATTTCATTTACAGAAATTCGATATTCCAGTTCAACATTCTTTTCCTGACTAGTATTGGCGAATTACGCTAAGGATTTTTCAGCTACACTGTGTAGTGTGAATTACCTTTTTAGTGTGCCCCAATGAAACAAAGGATGTTTTTGCAGTCATTTGCAAAGTAATGAACACAGAGAAATGCAGACAAACCTTACAGAATGACTAATAATATTGTGGAAAGTAGTAACCCTTAAAAGGATTTAAAGAGTAAGTGAACACAAGCTCCAATCTAGTAATGTGGCAGAAAGTCAAATGAAGCTCTTCAGCATATAGACAGGGAAATTAAAGAGTAAACAGCAGTGATTTATGGTCATAGAATGGTTTGAGATGGAAAGGACCTTAAAGATCACTCCGTTCCAACCCTCTGCTGTTGGCAGAGATATCTTCCACTAGATGGAGTTGCTCAGAGCCCCATCCAAACTAGCCTTGAACTCTTCCAGGAATGGGGCTTCCACAGCTTCTCTGGACAACTTGACACCTTCACAAT